TCCGGATCGATCAGGGCCGTTCCGAAGACTCCCAATCTTGCCCATGTCAAGGCAGGGCACTCGGTGAGCAGATGATACGGGGTCTCCTCCCCTTCCATGCACCACCTACACTCCGGGTCGTCTCCAATGCCTAGCAAGCAAAGATGCCTCCTAAGCCTGCAATGTCCTGTGTAGGCCCCTGTTAGTGCTCTACACTCCCTTCTGGTCAGTCTAAGCAGCTCCCTGGTTCGAGGAAGGGCGGGTCCATCCATCATAAGCCTCGCCTGCCTCATTCCCGGAGCAACTCTCCAGCCCCCCGCGGCCCGGTCTCTCGCCCAGGCTTCGAGAGCTCCCCGCCTCACACACAGCGGGGCTCTGGCCCTATATGCCTATGCGAGGAGCCCTCCCTGGCTAAGGCGTCCGCTGCCTCATTGCCCCGGACACCGGTGTGACCCGGGACCCAGACCAACGTGACCTTTCTCTCCTCAGCCACCCTCCTCAGTACCCCTTTGCACTCCTTTATCAACAAGGAGCGCGTACGCACTAACTTCAGCGCCATGAGTGCAGCCCTACTATCCGAGCAGAAGAAGACTCTCCTGCTTCCGTAGTTGAGCCGAAGCACCTCTCTGGCCGCCATCAATAAAGCGAAAATTTCTGCCTGAAATACAGTGCAGTACTGACCCAGAGGGACCGACAAGCTTGATCCCGTTGTCTCGCAGTACGCTCCAGCTCCGGCCAGATCTCCCATTCTGGACCCGTCCGTGTACCAGACAAGTCCATCCCAGGAGCCGACTCTGCCCTCTCTCCAATCTTCCCTTGATGGAAAGAGAAAGGTCAATTTATCAAAGAAGGTCATCTCGGGGATCATGACGTCGTTCGGCATGCCCATGACTCCGCGATCCCCGCGACAGCCCTCTAAAATGTCGTACGGACCCCGATTGAAGGTTCCCTCCCTCCAGAGCCCGCAGCTCGCCAGCCTCACAGCTGTCCTGGCCGCCTCCATCTGCACCCGATCCCGATTTACTATTATTTATTAGTTTATTAAAACAAACGCTTTGTGCCAATTTATACGCACAAAATCGTGGTAGACACCTAGCAATATTGACGTGAAAAAATACATGTAGAAACTGCATCGTGTCTACCGGGTTTTAGATAATATAGTGACCCTAGTACGGTAGAAATTCATGGTTTCACCCACTAACCTGCATTTTGCGCCATTTTCTTTTTAAGCAGCGATGTTTCCTTAACTCGTTTGACAAAATACCGCCGTAAAAAAAACTACATAAACTAAAACCTGCTACATCTAAACGAAAACTGTCAGCGACCACGTTGGTTGTGCAACGCTGTTAGAAACTGATTAAAAACGAGTTTTAAATAACTGCGCATGCGCATAATAAATATTTTTTTCATCGTTGCTTCAAAAATCCCTGTATTACCTGCCTCTGCTGATTGGGATAATGGGCAACTTTTCTTATAATGTACCTTGGACCACATTTCACAAGTTTATTTCCCATTGACAAAGAAAATGTTAACAATTACTTTTGTTTAAAAATTATACCATCACGCCACAAAATCCCAGTAACCGATATGACGTAGGGCGTTACCATGGTTACCTATATTTCCTATTCGTTTCATATGTTACTAGACTGCTGTCCAGTAAGCAATATATAATAATATGTTATATTAGTGCTGGCAATGACTTGATCCATTACTTTTGTTTATGACCTGACTTTGTGAGAAACAAAAAAAAGTTCTTTCACCGGTTTTTGTTTATTATGAACGATATGAAACGAAGGCGGATAAAATGCTATTTTTTCTGCAAATAAATTTTAATTATAGAGAAAGCAGGTCCGCCAGCGCTGTAATAGACACCAATTAAAGTCAATGAGCACTTTTCCACGAAAAAAAAAAACGCTTAGGCAAAATTATAGAGCTGCTACGTAATCCGATAGCGGATATGTGTTGGGTATAGTTGCTCGTTCTTAGAATGCATCCCAGATAACGTTCTGATTATAAGGCGTCATCAAAATATTCATTTTCTCGAGTAATAGAGTCTGCTTCATTGCCCGGAAGCCAAACGTTTTTTCTCTTCCCTTTTTAATTGTTTTTTTTTTTGCGTTCGAGGCGAATTCGTTTTAATTAAGCGTTTAATTGAGATGCTGCTCGCTTAGCGCTTTCGACGACCTTAGAAAAACGCCTTGCCAAAAGCAAACAGGTCAGCCTAGTAATTATCTCGCGTACTCGATAAATCAGAAACACCATTTTCTTCTTATCAATATCAATGTAAAGAATGGCGATATATCATGTGATTAGGGGTCAATAAGTCGAAAAGAAATATGCGGTCATCCAAATTTTTAATCCAAAATGAGATAACGTATAAAAATAGGGATAAGAAAAATTTAGAAATAATCTGCAAACATTTATTTATGCATAATTTTAAGTATAACTTACTAATACTGATATGCGCATAAAATTACACACAAATAAATAACAAATAAGAACTTTTTATGTACATAATACAAAATATTATATTAACATACTAGTAGATAATATCAGTACCTTGAAATGCAGTTGTTACTTTATAAAATAGTATAATAATAATAATAACAATAATAATAATAATTTTCCAAATCGACAAATACAATGTTTATATAGGAAATTGTCAAAAAATAAAATAAAATGATGTATAATCCAAGACTACAAACAGTAATATATAAACAAGGAAAAACACTAACCGAAAGTACTCTTCTACCGAGTACAAACATTTAATCACAAGATATTCGTTTAACGTTTTTTAAAAGCACATATATTATCACACATTTTTATTTCTTTCGGTAAGAGGTTAAAAAATCTCACATCACTCACACTTGGAACTCTATAAGAATTATTATATTTTGCATAAGGAACTTTAGATCTTGTATTTACTGATTGAAACACGAACACATTTATCGAATCAATCAACCATTCCCACAAAATTATACCGTACCTAATTCTACTTGATCATAATATTTATGATTCTATTAAAATATTCTTTCAGGTTATGTAAAAAATAGATGTTGCCTGCCTCCCAACCCCGATATCGGAGAAGTGCAATGGGTTTTAAAATTCATGTTTTTATCAATGAATATTACAACAAACTTTAGATAATGTACCGATCGCAAATCTTCAGTACCTATGTGAAGCGAAAGGTCTCCACATGGCTTTTGACTACGATAGAATCTTATAAAAGATGTTTGTAGTGAATTAAGGACTAAGTTGTTTTTATTACAAGAGTTCACCTCACTGAAAGCCACGTTACATTTGTTTTCGAGACATGAGTCACATCTCTCATACTAGTCAGCAAACTTTTCAAATCTTTATCTTGAAGTCGCCAGAGCCGCGCAAACCCTCTAAACCTTCAATATACAAGAGGAAAAGTACTAGTCCTAATACAGAGCCCTGACGGACGCCCATTGTTACCATGAATGACTTCGACTTTATTTCAGTGCATACACCATCTGTTTTATACATTGGGTTAACATATTGTTTCCTATAAGATGATCTACACAATCGAATGTCCTACGGACCCCAACAGAAAACCCTCGCCGGACACTATAGACTTAACAATATCCTCCAAGAATAAAGTAACTGCTTGTATGGAGGATCTCCCACTTCGAAAATCGAACTGGTTATCGGGTAGTGTTTTATTGCTTTCAAAATACAATAAAAGTCGTTGCAAATAGTCCGACATCAATGACTGTTTCATACATTTTATTTTATATAGACAAAATTCTGATTAAAATTTTGATAATAGTTTAGATATATATCTGTAGCCATGTCACAATTATTCAAACTAAGAAAAAGGCTTCTAAGTCTTTCAAACATATACATGCTTCGGCCAGGTTTGCTATATTGGACTCTGCAATTGTCAGGTTCAGAATCGGAAGTACATGAACTTACTGTCATACCTCTTCTATGCAGTCAATGATGGTTAGTTCTTCAGTCCCTGTGACTACATTGCTGTCAATTATTGAAAATTGCTTCAGGTCCGAAACAGTGTCATTTCAGGTTGTTGTTGTTGTTGTTGTATTGTAAAAATAGAGTTGGTTAGAGTAATGTCCTTTCAATTTGGTCTAGCGGATAACCACTATCTACATACATTTTTTAAAAGATAACTTTCGTAGAGCATCTTAAAATTCCTAATAATGACTTGGTCTACTGACAGGGTTGTGTTTGGTGGAAGAAAAATAAGTTTCACATTGTCCAGTGCAATTTTTATAATGCAATGTTACCTATGATAAGCGGCTTTTCCTTTTCACTTTCCATATTTGCACAAACCAAAATTGTAATTCGAACTCTGGTAGTTCTTTGTTCCAAAACGCATCATTTTTCATGTCTTTGTTGGCAAACCACGATAGTAATGTCCAGTGACGTCTGCATTGTCGACATTACTTGGGGTGTACTCTTTTAAAATTGTCAACAACCTTCTCGTCCAAGTATCTCTACCAAGTGAAGTTTTGGAGTCACTTAGTCCTAGGCTACGTGCACTTTCAAGGACTTTAGCTTCAATTATGAGCCTTGATATTCGTAAGTGCCTTACAAGACCAATTAAAAACAATGTGGTCCACAGGAAGTCCCCTATATTAGGAAACTTTTTTTATCACCATTATATTCTTCCTCCAATTTCCTACCGTTCGAAATATTGATTTAATCGAGAATTTAATGTTAAGCGACAACGATTCATTTCATATTAAGAAATTTCAAGTTGGGAATTGTGTACGATCACCAACAGATGTTTTACTGTACTGTGCTGTAATTACCAATTGGTTTGTTTTTACTAGTTATGGTCTTTATGTACGGTACCTACATCCCGTATACTGTACCAAGTAAATTTATTATTTTCCATATATCGTGACGGGATAATCGAACGATACATCAAAAAAAAACTGACAGCAGCTTAGGGCGATAACGACTTAGCCTAAGTCTAATTGTTTCCAGAAATCCGGCTTAATTAAAAACGATTCGTTTTTCGATTGTCGTAGATTAGGGAAAAATGTCGGAACATGATCCTCAACAACGACACGCTCCGGAAGGTGGGCGCCATTTTTCTCGACAACATCAAGAGGGGACTGAAGAAGGAAACGCACTCCAAGGCCATCGTTAAGTGCTTCCCCACTTACGTTCAAGATCTGCCGGATGGAAGTGGTAAGACAGATAACAAAAAAAGGAATAACGTGAACAGCACTTTTCATATTACGACGTCACTGAACCCGGTTACTTTTAGAGACCGGGAAATTTCTGGCTCTGGACCTCGGCGGCACGAATTTCCGCGTGCTGCTCATCGAACTGAGTAAGGACCACTTCGAGATGAAATCGAAGATCTTCGCGATCCCGCAGCACATTATGCTCGGCTCCGGTGAGCAACTCTTCGACCATATCGCCGAGTGTCTCGCCATTTTCGTCAAAGAGGAACAGGTCCAACACGAATGTTTACCGCTGGGCTTCACCTTTAGCTTCCCCCTATCCCAGAAAGGCTTGACGGTCGGTATACTGGAGCGCTGGACCAAGGGCTTCAATTGTTCCAACGTCGTCGGCAACGATGTCGTGCAGATGCTCGAGGAGGCCATCGATCGCAGGGGGGTAAGTCCATAGAATAGCCGAATAGCCATTTTCAAAAATCTCGATCGTAAAGAAGAAGAAGCAAACGATTATAAGCAATTTTTGCTTTTTTGGCGTGAAGTTTTCAAATGTACTGCGGGGTATCTCAATTATTTTTAAAGATAGCGCGGTTTACGCGACATTGTGCTACTTTTTTTTGTGAAATTAAAGATGCCGTCAAGAAAATTATCATGGCCCTTTTGGTTTTGAGATACAGGGTGAAATTCAAAACTATCGATTTTGGGACTACCCCTACCCGTTGACTTATTGAAGGGTAAAAAAACGGTCGTATAGGATTTTTTCCGTAGAATCCACTTTATTTCTTACTTGCTCTAACTATTTTTTAGTTATGAAGCAAACAACTATTTTTTAAATGAAGCACCCAATATATTATTTTTCAATCATTTAAGCCTTTCATTATAAAGTTGTTTTGAAAATTAAGCTCAACATTTGCATCATGGCGGTGTCGAGCGTCGGATGCAGTTGGATTCAGCAATAGATATTTGCAATGAATAAAAAACAAAACTCTACGATTCTTTTAAGAGATTTGTAGTATGGTCCGACGAACGTTACTTCTTCAAGTTCGGGAATTTTTAATCGCCATAACACGAGCAACCGATCGACAGAAAACCACCATCTAATTTTTGAATGGACCCAACATGGACGCTTTGGGGTTGGGGTATCGTGTTTCATTTTGGGACAACGAATACCCTACTGAATTTATAAAAGAGGTCGTTCTTGAATTCCTCGAAGATATTCTTCACGATCTTCGGATCTTTCAGTTTTAGATTTCTTTTTATACGAGGACTCTCTTATATTTCGGGATTTTCTTAAACTAGTCCTGTCATCTGGCGACTAACTTTTTATAGGGAAGTTTGACATTTTGAGGTTAGGTTTACTCAGGTTTTGGCGAAAGAGTGTTGTTTGTGACGGTTAAAAATAGAACTTAATCGGTAGCATTTTCGTATAATAATTTTTTACAACTTTAGACGTGGACTAACTCAACAACAATGCATCGATGAACTTAATTAGACTTTTGGAGTGAAAGCACCATCTAAAAGTACTGTTCATCCCTTCTTTTCGGATTTCAGTCGTAGTCGTAGTTTCCTTAAGGATGAATTTCGTGAAGATCGTCCAAAATCGGTGGTTGTCCAAGAAAACATTGATGCAGTGCGGAAACTGATTGTGCAGGATCTTTGGGCATTAGTGGGACCAACATATATACCATTTTGCTTGAACATTTGGTCGCTAAAAAAATTGTTCGCGTTGGATTCCACACAATTTGACATGAGCTCAAAAAAAAAGGCTCGTGTTGATTGTTCGAAGGAAATGCTAAAAAAAATACGATCGCAGTGCTTCCAAACACGTCTATGATATCGTGACAGGTGATGAATCATGGATCTATGCATATGAACCTGAAAGCCCACAAAAGTTGTTAGTGCTCGAAGCACCTCGAAACAAATGGTAGCCTGTTTTTTCAGGAAAACTGGCCACGTTGCAATTGTTTCTTTGGTGAAAGGTAAAACAGTCAATTCTGAATGGTACACAACCATTGGTTTGCCGAAAGTCTTCGAAGAAATTAGGAAAAACTACCGCCGAAGACGACTACACGAGGACAATGCTAGGTCCCACCGATCAGTGCAAACAAAGAACTTTTTGAGCATTAAAAACGTTGATTTGATGAACCATCCACCATGTAGTCCTGATTTAGCACCTAATGACTTCTTTTTAGAAGAAGCGATTGATGCGTTTAAAAAGAATGTTTTGAAGGTGCCCGAATCGATGTGGGAAAAGTGATTTGATAATTGGTTTTATCGAATGCAAAAGTGTATTGATCTTCAGGGTGAATATTTTGAGAAATATTAAAGTCATATTTATTGCTATCTTATAGTTTTTAATTGCAAATCCTGAAATATAAAAGGTGGTCCTCGTATATGAAAAATGAAATATATAAAATAGGATACTATCCTGTAGCTGAATTTCGGCAGAAACTCTACGAAGACCAATATTTATTTAAAATGTCATTAAAAAAATAAGAAAAATTTTCGAGTTTTGCATTTGAGAAAATTTGAACAACCGTTTTAGGTATAATATTATGTTAATATTCTTTATAAGGGGTGTTTTTTTTCGATGTATAGAACTTTAAGTTGCAATAAAACAACGATGGATTATTCGATTGACATGAATTTTATTTATCCGAAAGATAATCTTGTGGCATTACATTTTAAATATGATTTCTGGCATATCACCGCCACAGCTGGCGCGGATGTAGTCCAATCTGAATGTCCAATTTTCGATGACTTTTTCCAACATTCGTGGCCGTATATCAGCAATAACACGGCGAATGTTGTCTTCCAAATGGTCAAGCGTTTGTGGCTTATCCGTATAGACCAATGACTTTACATAGCCCTACAAAAAGTAGTCTAGCGGTCTAAATCACAAGATCTTGGAGGCCAATTCACAGGTACAAAACGTGAAATTAGGTGGTCACCAAACGTGTCTTTCAATAAATCAATTGTGGCACGAGCTGTATGACATGTTGCGCCGTCTTGTTGAAACCACATCTCCTGGACATCATGGTTATTCAATTCAGAAATGAAAGAGTTAGTAATCATAGCTCTATACGATCACCATTGACTGTAGCGTTCTGGTAATCATTTTTTTTGAAGAAGTACGGACCAATGGTTCCAGCAGCCCATAAAGCGCACCAAAGAGTCAGTTTTTCTGGATGTAACGGTGTATCGACATACACTTGAGGATTAGCTTCACTCCAAATGCGGCAGTTTTGTTTGTTGACGTAGCCATTCAACCAGAAGTGCGCTTCATCGCTAAACAAAATTTGCTTATGAAAATCGGGAACAACGGCAATCTCGTTTTGGGCCCATTCGATGAATCTACGCCTTACTTGATGATGGCTTCAATTCTTGCACGAGTTGGATTTTGTAAGCACGTAAACCAAGATCCTTCCGCAAAATCTTCCATAAAGTGGATGGACACAGATCCTATTCCTGTGCTCGATGACGGATGGACTCATTCGGGTCTTGCTCAATGCTACGCTCTACAGCAGCAATAGCTTCTTCTGTACGCGCCGTACGGCGTCTCTGGGGATGCGAGTTATCAATAAGAGTAAACGTGGTGCGAAAACGTTCCATGGTTAATCGAATTAACTGTTCTGATGGACGATTTTGTCGACGATAAAATGGACGTAGTCCGCGATACGTATTCCGCACAGAACCATTATTTTCGAAATAAAATTGCACTATTTGCAAGCGTTGTTCAGGCGTGAGTCTATTCACGATGAATTGCCAAACCAAACTGAGAATAAATCATTTGACACCTGTTAAATCGGTCGCGATATTGAACAGTAATGCCAACTTAAAGTTCTATACATCACAAAACCACCCATTATATAATGTTATTTCGTATTAATTAAAGTAATAATGGACTACAATAAGTTCAAAATTATTGCAAATAGTATATAACGTATAAAACATATTTAAATAATTGAATATTAGAGTATTGAGTTTCTTGTATATTAATAATTGTTTACTTGGATATTGCTTTTAATAGATTAATCATGGCCTACTGCTACAAATAAACTAAAATATAAAAAAAAATTAAAATTTGAGCTTAATTTTCAAAACAACTTTATACTAATATATACATATTTCTGAAAAGTTTAAAAAATAGCCGAGATACTCAATAAGTATTTATTCTATTATTTTAAGTATTTTTCTGAAATCAAGAATTAATTCTATGTCATCCTGCAAGTTTATATTACTCTCTTATAACTATTACTGATGAACAGATTGCCAACGCCTCTTGGGGATTTTAAATATCTTTTTTTGTGGAATCGGACTAAAAAAATCCACGGGACAGGGATAAAACGGCGATCTATGCAAATTTAACGCTTAAACGGCAACTTTAATTAGGAGCTGTATTTTAGGACGTGTCCATATCCGTAATGGCGGTCCTAAACGACTCCACAGGCACGTTAATGTCGTGTGCCTGGCTGAATAGGACCTGCAGGATCGGGCTCATAATCGGTGAGTCTTGGAATGCCAATTCCAGACTGCAGAACCGAAATAAGAACGCATGGACTCGCGCCAAATAACTCCTCCCGCGTAATACTAGCTACCACGCGATAGCGTTAGAGACGTACTTCTTTTAACCTTCAATATTTTCCTTCTTCGACTGCATGATTTCCCCTTTTCTGTTTCTAGGACGTAAATATCGAGGTTTGCGCTATCTTGAATGACACTACTGGGACGCTCATGTCTTGCGCATGGAAAAACCGCGATTGCAGGATCGGACTTATAGTCGGTAGGTTTAGATTGACTAACATTATTGTCGTATGTAGTTCTAACCTCTATTCTTCTTATTTTTCTATTACAATATAACCACCTGACGAATCGACCATAACCTAATTTTCAAATTTAAACTATGCCTCAATTGCTAGTTTTTTTAAGTTATTCTTATTCGACGAAGTTTATTTAGACGTTTTCGACAAATCCACCTTGAAATAAACAAATACGACCGGAAAACGCACTTGCAGGTACCGGTAACAACGGGTGCTACGTGGAGAAGCAGGAAAACGCCGAGCTCTTCGACGAGGAAGACATGGGTTCGGGCAAGGTGATGATAAACCTGGAAATGGGTGCTTTCGGGGACGACGGCAGCATAGATTTCGTACGAACCGAGTACGACCAAGAAATAGACAGGCATTCGATCAATCCCGGCAAGCAAATGTAAGAATTGCTTCTTGAAGATATGTAGGAAGTTAGTTAATTTTTAATGGTTTATTTTTTTAAAGTAGTTTAATGCATATATAAACCATTAGAAAATTACCAGCGGTCTTGCTAACTTCTTATAGTGCGAGAATAAAGAATACTTTAACTTCATCGCGAATATATTATGGAAGCCTTTGAGAAGAAAGCTCTCGACGCCTTCCATCTAAAACCAAAACTATGGAAACGCTACGTCGATGTTATTTGGCCTCATGGTCAAGAATCCCTAGTAGATTTCCTTAGACATTTAAACTCTAAACACCCTAGCAGACGTTTTACCATTGAATTAGAAACTAATAACCTTCCATTCTTAGATATTCTTATCAATTGAAAATCAGACCTAACATTGGGTCATTGTGTTTACAGAAAACCTACGCAGCCCGATACCTTAATGCATTGTCACATCACCATCCGGAACAAAAATCAGCGGTTATCAACTCTCTTGTTTACAGAGCCGTAAAACTAACTCTGCCCAAGTCACTGAACCCAGAATTAAAACACCTTACCTCTGCTCTTCGCTCTAATAATTTCCACATTAAAGGTATTAGGCGTTCCATCACAAAATCCACTTCACCGCAACCATCCAATAGCAATGAAGCCGAAAACAGCCCCACACTTGCCACTGTTGTCCTTCCTTACATTCAAAACATCACTGACATATATCAAAAGTTCTAAAGAAATATAACGTCAAAACCAAATTTATCACTTGTAAAAACATCTTCTATCTTTCAAAGACAAAATTCTATTTGAGATGCCAGCATTCCATGCTTATGCGGCAGATACATTGGAGAGACCAGGCGAAAAATATCAACAAGCCTTGAGACGAAAACAAATAAACTCATCAGTAGTTGTCGAAGACAATTACGAAACTGGACATAAAATTTTATTCGACAAAACTAAAATTCTTGCATGTAATCAATTCTTCTACCAACGAAAAATCCTAGAGTCTATAGAAATCTATGACCAACCTAATAATCTTAACCGCGACTCAAATGGGGATCAGCCATCCGAGACGGTATGCCCCTCATTTAGCTCCGTCCCCTTCAAACAGTATATCAGCAGGTACAGAATAAAATGTGAGCCAGTTTCAGTTAACCTCTGAAGAAGCCAACAGGATGATTGGCGAAACGTTAGCTAGTTTGACTCAACAAAAACCGACGCGGCAGGAATCCATAAGTTTTCTAAAAAGTAATAATTTAAGCAAAAAAAAAAAAAATGCGATTAAAGTTTAAATATTCACCGGCCAAATTTGACATTTCAGTAACAATTGACCTCGTTTTCAGATTGGAAAAGATGATTTCTGGAATGTACATGGGAGAACTGGTGAGGCTGGCGTTGGAGAAATTTACAAAGGAGGGGCTGTTGTTCGGAGGTAAAGGGTCCGATATGCTGTTCGAGAGGGGGCGCTTCTATACGAAATACGTATCGGAAATAGAAAGCGACGAACCCGGGGTGTTCACCAACCAAAAGGAGATACTGGAGGAATTAGGTAGGCAAAGCGAATCCTCTCCCCAGAGGTCGCCCCTTACTTTTCGGTTCTCCGTTTAAGGGTTGAAACACGCCACCGAACAGGATTACGTGAACGTCAGGTTTGTGTGCGAATGTGTGAGCAGAAGGGCGGCCCATCTGGCCGCCACCACCATGACGACGCTACTGCACAAAATGGACGAAAAGAAGGTCACCATAGGGGTCGACGGGTCGGTGTACAGATACCATCCACATTTCCGCACCCTGATGATGGAGAAGATCAGCGAACTGTGCGATCCCAGTATACAGGTACGAAACCACTTTAACCACGTTAACCACTGCGCGCAATGCTGTCACAAATCGGCAGTAATCATGCGAAATCATCGCGCGATCTTGGAAGTCACTTCGGAAATTCAAAAAAATCTGCGAATTCATTGCGGAATCACGCGAAATCTTAAGCGGTTGACGACAACATCGCGCGTGGTGATAATTGATATACGCACAGCCGTAAGTTTTCTGTTTTATTTTTGAATAGGTCATCGATGACATTATTTTTTTTTTAATAATATTACGGCAGGTAAATGTAACAATATGTAGAAGTTACTTTACCGAACCGAAACCCTTTTGTTCTGCACGAGGTTTCTGTCCTCGCTGAGCTGGCCTTAGGACACCTACGTTATTCTTTGACATTCTTGACCCACGAAATTTGTTATTAATATGTCCACTCGTTACGGGATTTCAAGGTGTTTAACTTCGCTGAAAAATTTCGACTCAAATTACAAAATTCAAATAGCGGATACCAAATGACCAAACAAATTGTATCAATTTTGAATCGGAGTTTAGAGGAGCGAAGGAAGTAGATTGCTAAAAGGTAATAGAGGACAACCATAAAAGAAAAGAAAAATTGTGGATGATTTTTAAATGCATTACAAATTCTTCATTCTCCTTCACGTTGTCTTGTTGAAGAACAATTGAAGATATACATTCGGACTACTCATATTTGGATGTTTCCACTTTAGCTATACATATTTTTGGTGATATAAAAAAAATCATGTTTGGACGTTGCAAATAATAAACTATCCTTTTAATATGTTTAATTTACTAGTACTATTTTCTGCATTATTTATTTGTTATTCAACATAACGTTCTACAGAACCGCCGTTTTGATTATTATTTTTTTTTTGCTTTATTTTCCAACATAACCTCCATCAACACTGATACATTTCTCATAACGGTATTCCAATTCGGTTATACCAGTTTTAAACGTAGATTCATCGAGCTAATCAAAATACTGATATTCAACTTCGATAATTTCTTTGTTGCTCTTAAATTTTTTACCGGCAAGCCCATTTTTGAGATTGGAAAACAGGTAATAGTCGCTGAGGGCCAAGTCTGGAGAATAGGGAGGTTACGGTATTCAAACTTCAATTCATATATTTTGAACATGGCAACAATCGACGCTGGTGCGGTATCGTGATGAAACAAAATTTTTTTCTTTGGCAAATGAGGGCGTTTAATTTGAACCTCGTTCTTCATATGTTGCAATAACTCTGCGTAGTATTGACCAGTGATGGTCATCTTACCCTTTTCAAGATAATTCTCTCGCATCCCAAAAAAACAGTAGCCATAACTTTTTTTGCCGATAAATATGTTTTAGCCTTCTTTGGAGTTGGTTTCCCTTTTCCAACCCACTGTTTTGACTGATGAATCGTCGCAAAAATTCGTTTGGATTACCCCTAGAAAGCGCGAAGCTGTCGGTAGAAATATTTTTTCAAATCAGTTTTGGTCGAGTATTAGCAAACGCAGCACCCATCTTGCAAACACAGTTTTTCCATGCGCAAAGGTTTCGCGTTCAGCAGACAGCCTACAGATTTCAGCTATCTCCTGCACTTTCAACCTACGGTCTTCCAATACTATTTGATGGATTTTCTTAAACATTTTTAATGTTGTGACCTCAACAGGCCATCCTCAGCGAGGCTCGTCAGACGTGCTCACATGACCAATTTTAAATTCACTAAAACCACTGCTTAATAGTTGAATGTAATTGACAGGAGTCTCCTAGTATTGAAAACATCTCCTTCTTTAATTTGTTTTGGTGTAAAACCTTTCAAATAGAATTATTTTTCCATTTTCACGAATACAACGGAAGAGTCTCGCGCAATGTGGTCTCAAGAGCAACTGTAGAGACAAGCTCGATAAGAATGATACTCCAAAAGTAGGCCTAGTGGCGCCACCTCTTGGTCAGGCCGAAAACTTTGCACCCCACCCTCGGAAGTTAGGTAGCATAAAACTGTCACGAAATGATTTTTAAACAACAAGTTGAAATAGTGACATTTCGGTAGTGCTCGATAGTTTCATATTTTCGCCATGTTTCGCCTGCATTCTCGTAGCTAACTATGGAAAAATATAGAAACAGTATAGGAATTTTCCAATGAAAACACTTTTGATTGTTAATATTTCGAAATCTACAACTTTTTGAAATAAGCAACATTAAAAAAAAGTATAGCTATTTATTATTAAACAGCCTGTGTTTATTTATTTTAGAATATCAACCAGACTGCTAAAGTGCTATAATATATATGCTATGATAATATATATTCTATAATATATATGCTATGCTATAATATATATACTATGATATATATACTTAAACCTGCAAATGTTACATTTGACATAAAATTCATAATTTTTCTTGGTAAAACTTGATTATATATTATATGAGATATTAATTTTTACATAGAATATTAAATAATGTCATGAACCTTTCGATGAATTCAGATATGCCTTCATATATATAGTGTTTCAGTTGTTTGTTGTCCACGGAAATACAAAAAGTCTTTATATATAAAAATATAAAATTTTAAAAATATAAGTGAATCCAAACCGCCTTTAAGTTTTTTTTTTGATATCTTGTACACTTGTAATATTTTTATAGAAGTAAAACAAACATTTTCTTTTACAAATGTCGTCCAGCAGTCAATTTAAGTTATGCTAAATTAAAGGTATTTTATTTTAATAACGTCTAATTTAAATTTAACTTAAGCAATTTATAATAAATAATCTTTACCACATTTTTGGATTTGCGTTTTGTTTTAATTTGAATGTTTATTTTGTTAATTTTATTTTTAGCCGAATCTTTTTTATGTGATATAGTCATTCTAAAAGTTATCTGCAGTTAAAGTTCGTCCCTCATCATACCAAAAAACCGCAATTGGCACCCCGTCCTAGCCCTTATGATGGCCGACTGCGCGTAACGAATAAGTGTTTTAATGATGATAACAATATTTATTAGCTGTAATAATAGCGGTAGCTTCTTCCTCGCACCTACTCCCATCATAGAAGTTTAATTTGTTAGTCTTGGTAGCTTTGAAATTACGATAGCTTACTTTAATTATTTACCTGTGAAATTTACCATGAAAATATACACACACATAGACATTTTTAAAATTTACATCAGGCGAAATCGTGTAGAAATCGCAGATTTGCGTAACACTGTCACAATTTTTACCACAGTGGTTAACACATCGTCAATACTTTATATTATTTTTCAAAAATGATATGGTATACAAGGAATTTCATTAAAAAAATTCTACTTTAATGTCTTTAACACTTCTCAGACAATCTGAGTAATTTTAAATAGTATATACTATAACAGAAAGGAAAGGAAACCGGTTTAAAGATCTCAAAGACCTTGCAACATTAAATTTTTGAGTTTTTTGAAAAATTTTGTGAGTTTTATGTGACGAAAGTGAATATGTATTGCAGTTCGACCTGATGCTAAGCGAGGACGGTTCCGGGAGGGGGGCGGCGTTGGTGGCCGCGGTGGCGGCCCGCCAAAAGAAAAAGTCCCAGAAGCAGGCCACATAATGGCGGACCAAACGTCGTCGCGTACTTGTAAATATTATACAGAAGCCGAGCCGGAGGCGAACGTCCGCGGCAGCGTCGCGTAGCATCTTGTGTTGTTCGTTTTAAGGACAATTTTTCAGCGCTAGTAAAAAAAAACATGTTTTCTGTTCCTATAAAGACTGGTTTCCCTCGCCGTTAAGAAAGGCGCGTTTTCTAGTTAATGATTTAGCTTTAAACAGGTGAACTACTTAACAAGTCCCCCTTGTTTTGTTTTTAATGGAGGGGCGGCTTTGGTCTCTTTTTAACGCGTACCCGAGCGGCGACTGTGAGGGCCTGCCGAGCAGGTCCCTTCCACATAGAGCACTCATACTTAATTGTTTTTGATATATTATAGAAACATGATGTCAACGGTTACTTTTTTAAATATATAGTAAATTTTTAAATCGCGTTTGTGGTTTCATTTCGAAGGAACGGAAAAGAGGGAATTTACTAATTTACTATTCCCTAATGTGTCAGAGCTCTATCTGTGTTGGCAAACTCAACTACCAAAAAAAAAAACATTCAAGCGTTCTCAATAACTGCTGAATTTTCGAATTTTAAATCTACCATTTCAACAACAAAGATTAATCATACTAGCGTATTTACTTCTTTTTTAAAAGAGTATTCTTTAACCACAAGAAATATGTTAAATTATAGGTCAATGAAATAAAAAAGAAATTGAATGACTTATAAATGAACCTTTTTTAAAATTATAATTATTACATCTACAGTCTCTAGTTTCAATATTTAGGTATTATCTCGCACACAAATATTTTGATCTCGCACACTAATTCTGATACTTGTGAACGGCTAAAGTATTCACACGTTTTAGGGAATACCGTTTCTTTTAATTTTTCATTTTTCATTATGGCACACCGATTATTTGGCCTCTTTTCACTGCCTTGTTGTAGAGAAAGGGTCGTGTTAACCCGGTACTACTGGCTTTAATTCCTTATGTAACGCTTTTTTTTCTTAGAATATAATATAATAAACCCAATTAATAAATCGCAGCATTAAAAACATAAAAAGTGAGGTTAAATCGATGTTCATAATAAACTGGCCTGGCACAAATTATTAAGTGAATTGATAATCCTGTATGAACGTAACGATTACGATGTAAAGTTGTGATCAATTTGGCGAATTAAAACGACTTTAATTGGGGGTCTAGGCTTTAAAAAATGTGCCTAGCATTAGAAGATCCAAATCGAAATCTCGGGTATCAACTAGTGCGGTTTTTATCTTACCTGGTTTTGGTTCTTGATTGTCTGGAGTTTGTTGCTCGTAGAGGCACTCAATAAGTCATTTCGAACAACAAAAACTAATGTACAAAACACGGAAATTTGAACCATTTTCTTCGGTAAACTACTCACCACAGATACCTTATTTCCAACGTACACAAGCTAGGCAATAGTTAAAGTTAGTTGACCGGCCGACAGATGACGCGAACAGCGCATTTTACTGCGATGCGTAAAATTGTGACAGAGGAGATTATCTGTGGTTAAGGGTTTTTGACATTTCGAATTTTACGTCAAAATATGGTTGTTTGCTATTACTGATTTGAAAGTGCTAAATATTCATTAAACAGATATCTAAAATGGTTTCGTTCTGTTCAGTATGTGGAATAACTGGTTACGACGATCCTAACTTCAGTTTTCAAAGGTAAGTTATACATCGCGCAACTTTTGATATTTAGGAGCGTAGAACGTGATTGGCTGAACCAAATAATGGAAAATCCGTTGTATAGCCGCAAGTAGAAAACCAAACCATTCATTAATGTTTCTTTGTTAGCTGTCGATTTATACTCATTTTATGAATGGTCCTATCTTTGAATCTCATAACACGCGGGTCTATAATGCGTAGATTCGGCAAAAATGCGGGTAGAATTGTTTAATGATTTCTTAGTAGACCGATCTGTGCTCATAATCAGCTGATAATAGAGGCGTTGAATAAGTAACATGGTCTCTGAGAGTTTGTCAATTCAACCGTTTTCCGTTTGGATGGGGGTTTTTAATATGCCGAAAACCCGCTACGTGTTAAGGAAAAAGCGAGTGAAGCCTGGAAATCGCTTCTTGGAAAGAAAAGAGCGGGCGTCAAATTTTATTTGATTTAACTTTAGTTTCAAAGTATATTAAAAGGGTCCTCATATATAGTATAATGGTTTTAATAAGTATTTCAGAAAAGTTATATATGGTTCAGGAACCATATATAACTTTTTTTGGTTTGCCATATATTTGTTTATACGATAAATGCAAAATACTTAAATCCGATTAGTTTGGCCGTCAAACCAAAATGTTTTCGAAACAGGAATAATCCTTGTCCTTGTCCTCATTTAAACGGTTAATAAGTCTATAAAACTAAATACTACTAAGAAGAAAGACGAAAAATAAAGGGTGCAGGGGAAAAAAGATGAATGTTACGAAAATTGGTTTCTAAGAAAAACAGATTTTAAAATTTTAGGAATATTAGACTGAAATATATTTTTTAATACCTTGTTTAGATTTTTTACCAATTAATTTATTCGGCTTGGTTTCAATATTTTATAGCATTTTTTGAACTTTCATCTTTTTTATTCGTGAATCTTAATCATACTTCTGCAAAGTGGTTTTGCATTAGAGAAAGGAATTTTTTTAGGCACTAAATTCGTTGTTTTAGTAATTGCCCGATCCTACCTGATTTCATTGTCCAATTACGTAGGTCTACAAAATTAAACTTTTTAACAGATGTTTCTATTTTGAAAACTGATTTTATATATTTTGGATTTCAAAAATTTTATGCATTTATTTCTAAAATATTTTTTTTATTCAGTAAAAAAGTGAAATCTTAGTTTACTCAGACTTTTTTGAGTTTGTGTTGTTCAGGGCATATCCCGTTTTAACACCCAGCAGTACTCCGCCATCATCCTTATGCTCCATCTGCCTATTTATCGCCGTTCCATCTTCGCTACCTGCTCCAATATTTTAAGGAAAATACTTCAAATATAAATACACTTTCAAACTCATACTACAACCTAGACGATGAAAATATTGTAACATATTTTGAACAATACTTTGGTAGTTTTCGTCCTTAGAGTTCCCAAGAAACTAATTAATTACTTCTTCTCGATATTGGTCATTGTGTTTCGAAACTCCTTGTTTTGCATAATGTTCTTATCTGCGGCTCAACAAAAATACCTTTTTTTATCTCGGCATCCGATATGGCTGGAAATTTCTTGCACATATATTTGAAACACTGTCCATTTTTGTCTAGAGCTTTAACAAACTACTTCATCAAGCCAAGTTTGATATGAAGAGGAGGCAGTAAAACTTTTTTGGGGTTAAATAAGCTATCTCTTAATACATTTTTGCTACCAGGTGTAAAACTTGTTCTAGAGAACCATTCTATTCGAGTCCAATGTCTCTTGCCCGATTATCCCATTCACAAATAAAGCATGGAAATTTTGTATAAGACCCCTGTTGTTCTAGGAGCATATACAGCACTTTAAGGTCACCACAAAGTATCCATTGATGTTCTTGATAGTTTATTATCTTTAAAAGAAGTCCTAATTTTCATACGTTTCTTTTAAGTGTGCACCTGGAGCCGAGGCCAGTTCGTTACCATTGTGCAATAAAATGCCTTTTAAACTACAGAACCATTCTTCTTTTATATGCACATTTCCTAATTTCCAGTAAAATATTGACATAACGCTTTTTCGCGATCCCGGTAAAAGCTTGATGCGACGCCAGGTGCCAGTAAATGCTTGTGACGAAGTCTGGACGCTAACAATTCGGGTGCATCCTTTGGAAGGTTAATTAGAAATTTGTCTAATTAAATCATTTAATCCGGGTTCTTTGAAATCTGTTGTGAAATCTGAGTTATCTGGGTTGGAATTAGGTTGCTCTGATTCTGACGATATGAAGTTTTTTAGTTCTTTTGGGGCGGTCGGTATCGGTACATCAGGTCCATGAGGAACTGGTCGAATAGCAGAGACAGTTTGTTTCTTATTTTTTCTGTTGATTGTTGATTCCTAGCCTCCCGCCGTGCCATAGGAACACCAAAGGTTCAACATTTCTTCCCACCCTTTTGCCAGTTTCGTAATGCTTCCACTCAAACGGAACAAACAGTATGAGGAGCGCAGGACTTGTCTTGGTCACCAATTTTTACACCAAAATAAGCGTGGTATACATTTTTCACAAAAGAAGTCATAGTTTCCTTTTGCTTTACTACGACATAACTACCACAGATACAGATGTAACAAATTTATAGGTTCTGGAAAACTAGAAATACGCAGCGACGAAGATAACAGCCGCGAACACAGTAGCACAGCCACCAATACAACCACACTGCGCATAAGCAGGTATTGACGCTTCTGCTTCTGAGCCAACTGCTCTGCAAAGAAATCCAATATTATCCAGTGTTGCCAAATCATATTTAATTTCATAAAAATCAATTCATTTAACAATCATGCCTAACATGGAACAAACATATTCTTGTCTAAGGTATATTAATAAAATAACATTTTTAAGACATAGTGCGCTATAAAAAAAATGACTCGATAGAGCAAAAAATGGCCCCCCCCTAAATATATAAATAGCAAACAGCTTTCAAACATCAAAATCACTGTAGACCTGTGTTATTATCGGCGTTTGGTTAAATTCGACGCGAACAATGATAATTGTTGCGGCACCATTATATGGCAATAATTATTCTCTCCTTGGCAATAACTGCATTAAATGAGACATGACGATATCAGCATCGGCGATAAGGTCAACAAGTTTCGAGGCGAAAACATCATTTTAAGCGTAATTATAAATTGAAATATGGTTTCTATAGGCAGTGGGTTCGCCTCGCCAGTCCAAGTCGGCTGAAATACATCGACGAATCGCTCGAGTTTATCACGAAAACATTGCGTAGAGTCGCCGTGAGTGGTTGCGTTCGTATTGTTGCGATACGAGGAGATTTGAAAGCGCGAACTCTATAGCGACCGGAGATGACGAAAATAATCAAAGCGGAGATATAAGTGGTACCGAATGAGATAACCTTATAATCGGACGTTATCGTTTGAAATTGATTCGACTCAAAGTGCTGCCGCGGTGTCGCTGTGAACGATGCTGTCTAAATGCGCTCTCGCGGCCAGAACAGCGTCCAACGGATTTCGCAGATGGAAAAGCACCCGGGAAATCATCGAAAAAGAATCGAAATATGCCGCCCACAACTACCACCCCCTGCCGGTGGCGCTGTGCCGCGGGGAAGGTACGTAATAGCCGCGGTACAACAAATTTTCTTGGGAAATGGTCAATATATATATAATACTTCTTAAAAAATCACGTGTACTGCTTTTTCTGACCAACAATTTTTTTTATGTTAAAAAAATAAAACTTAATTTTAATGTTGGTATATCAATTTACATGCGCTTTTTCAAAGGTTGATCCCTTTAAAAGGAGACTATACCTTATCTCGAAACCTACGGAGGTTACAAAAAAGTTAAATTCAAAAGTTGTTTCTATTAAAACTACCTTTTGTTTTATTTTCCTAACCGTCACTTGTTTATATACAGTTTACATTTGCTTAAATAGAACAGCTTACATTTTATTGCATTTTTGGATAGTCATTTCAAAGACAAATTCAGCGATATATACGAGTTTGGGTCTGTGATGCACCATTTTGAACTTATTCTGCATTTCCAGATTGAGCACCATACTTTCACGGATCTTCGCCACTGTTTGTTTACTTTAAAAACACATTTTTTATTTTCTGAATTCTAATAATGGGTATTTTTTCTATTCTATAACACCGCAGACGTTTTAACTATTGATTCATCGATCCAAATTATATTTTGAAATATGTTATCTAAAATATGCTTATCCATCATTATATTGCAAAATTTGAGTCTTAAGTTAAAATCTGCTTCTTGTAGTTTTTGTACTGGTGTGAGTGACTGTTAATTTTTAAACATGTTTGAAGTGTGGTTCGTCTTACGTCTACATCTGAAGCGGCAAGGCGGGTGGAGGTCTCTGGAATATTTTAAAAATGCAGAAGAATATCTAGCTGCATATTTTCATCCAAAACCGTTCAACTCTTACTAAACAGTTCCATTTGTTCTAAACTGCTAGTAAGGGGTGTTTTTTTTTCTAATGTATAGAACTTTAAGTTGCAATAAAACAACGATAGATTATTCGATTGACATGAATTTTATTTATCCGAAAGATAATCTTGTGGCATTACATTTTAAATATGATTTCTGGCATATGACCGCTATGGCTGGCGCGGATGTAGTTCAATCTGGACGTCCAATTTTCGATGAATTTTTCCAACATTTGTGGCCGTATATCGGCAATAACAGGGCGAATGTTGTCTTCCAAATGGTTAAGCGTTTGTGGCTTATCCGCATAGACTAATGACTTTACGTAGCCCCCCAGAAAGTAGTCTAGCGGTGTTAAATCACAAGATCTTGAAGGCCAATTCACAGGTCCAAAACGTGAAATTAGGCGGTCACCAAACGTGTCTTTCAATAAATCGATTGTGGCACGAGCTGTGTGACATGTTGCGCCGTCTTGTTGAAACCACATCTCCTGGACATCATGTTTATTCAATTCAGGAATGAAAGAGTTAGTAATCATAGCTCTATACCGATCACCATTGACTGTAACGTTCTGGCCATCATCGTTTTTGAAGAAGTACGGACCAATGATTCCACCAGCCCATAAAGCGCACCAAACAGTCAGTTTTTCTGGATGTAACGGTGATTCGACATACACTTGAGGATTAGCTTCGCTCCAAATGCGGCAGTTTGGTTTGTTGACGTAGCCATTCAACCAGAAGTGCGCTTCATCGCAAAACAAAATTCGCTTATGAAACTCGGGAGCAACTGCAATCTCGTTTTGTGCCCATTCGACGAATCTACGCCTTACTTGATGATCGTTTGGCTTCAATTCTTGCACGAGTTGGATAAAGTGGATGGACGCAGTTCCAATTCCTGTGCTCGATGGCGGATGGACTCATTCGGGTCTTCCTCAATGCTACGCCCTACAGCAGCAATAGCTTCTTCTGTACGCACCGTACGGCGTCTCTGGGGATGCGAGTTATCAATAAGAATAAACGTGGTGCGAAAACGTTCCATGGTTAATCGAGTTAACTGCTCTGATGGATGATTTTGTCGACGATAAAATAGACGAAGTGCGCGATATGTATTCCGCACAGAACCATTATTTTCGAAATAAAATTGCACTATTTGCAAGCGTTGTTCAGGCATGAGTCTATTCATGATGAATTGCATCTGAGCACAACAAACCACTTGTTAAATCGGTCGCCATCTTGAACAGTAATGCCAACCTAAAGTTCTATACATCGAAAAAAAATACCCATTATTTGGCTCTCTATTGCCTGAGAGCAAGAGCCGGCATTTTGTTATTGGCGATGTAACTTTCTAATAGGCCAACTTTTTCCTCCTTCGTATACATTATACAAAATAGACTCAACAAAAATGCAACTTAATGAAATAAATAGAAAATGGTGGAAGTCAGTGATATTACCACAACAGAAAACTACTACAGAAAGCTACTGCGATGATTACGTCAATATGTCCTGATTAGGTCAAAATTAATATCAACAATGTTGTGTGTGTCTTTCAACAGGCAGGTTTCTTATATTTTTTCCATTTAAGGACCTTATTTACAAGATTCTTAAATTATGAATGTTAAAGAATCTATGTATTATTGTAAAATAATTGCCAATTAAGCCAGAACGGTAAGTCAGACCCCCTACTATGTTATATAATTGAAATTGCTATTAAAGTTGTTATTCGAAAATCCAATAATATACAGGGTGTCTCATTTAAGAAAATTGAAAAAAGTTTGATTTGGGAAACGTGGCAACACCCCGTATTTTATGAAAATATTTTGAATTTGATCGTTGCCTAAATAAAAGCGTTGTTTTCGTAAAAATAATAGATAGAAAAAAGTTTAAAAAGTTAGTAAGCAACCCAACAGTGATGGTTTCAACATAACCCGAATTCTGCAGATGATCGCTAACAAGTTCGAAACGGTGCATCACAGATCCATACTCATATATATCGTTGAACGGACTATCCAAAAATGCAATAAAATGTAGGGTGTTCTAATTAAAAAAAAAGTTATTTTGTTTTACCAGCGTGTATATAAAAAAGTGACCATTAGGAAAATAAAACAAAAATAGAAAGAATTGAAACAACAGCTTTCATATTTAATTTTTTTTTAACCCCCGTAGGTTTTGAGATTAGGTATAAGCCCGTCTTAAACGGGCCACCCTGTACATAATTTCAGTAGGAATTATATCGGTTAATAATAATTAAACAATATTCTCCCATCTATATAAAGCAGACAACTAGCCGCGATAATTTTTTTAAGTTTTACCCAAATGCAATTTTGTTTACCCACACCATTCGGGGTTGATAACTCCGCTTCCTGGTGATCTAACCAAATTTCAGGGCGTGAAGGTTATTAAACGGCAATTAACGGTAAGTAGTTCCGCGGTCAGTGCTACGATAATAACCTTTTATTTACCTATGAGACTTCGATGACGCCGAATGGAATTGAGAATTTTCAAAAATGATAAAAAGTACAAGTATATACTAGAACTGGCGTTAAATAATAAAAAATACGTGCGACCGGATCTGGTGTATAAGCGTTGTACGTAAAATTTAATTTCTTTAAGGAATAGATACTACAACCGGCGTTAAAAATGATAAAAAATACAACGGCACGCGGTGTTCCCAAGCGGTCACCCATCCAAGTACTAACCACGCCCGACGCTGCTTAACTTCAGAGATCGGACGGGATCTGGTGTATCAGCGTAGTATGGCCGTTGCATGTAAAATTTAATTTCTTTAAAGAACATATATTAGAATTGGCATTAAAAATGATAAAATAACGGCACGCGGTGTTCCCAAGCGGTCACCCATCCAAGTACTAACCCCGCGCCCGACGCTGCTTAACTTCAGAGATCGGACGGGATCTCATTTCAAACAGTCTTTATTTATTTACAGTCTACTATATCGTCAAAGCCATATTTACATTATATACAATAAACATATACAACATAATATCGTAAATAAACTATAGACTGGCGCGACACCCGCGTCGTCCGGCCGTGTTCGGGCGAGTGTTGGGGCCCTTTGGTCCGGCTTGAAGTCTTTTGGTTGACAGTGCCCTCCGGGTCCATGGCGCGTTTTGGTTACTTGTATCGAAATTCCAATTAATGCTACGACATAATATCAACGATAGCATTGGGTGGGGGGGGATGTTTTTATTCAATTGAAAGGAAACTAGTCTTAGTAAAAACCTTTTTTAGAAGAATTGATAGTGTTATTATATTCCAAAAATCGTCGAAGGTGTTTGCGTATGTACTTAAGTAAGTTGGTGGGAATGGTACAGCGCGAAACATGCATTTTCGTTTTGGGCGTGCCGAAGTGAAAGGAACAAAAATTTTAGTTTTTTGTGGTTTCGCGCTATGTATGTTTTTAATGCTGTTTGTTTGCCTATTGGCTTGAAGTAATTGAGGCGGGATTTGCGTTCGTTATATGTCTTCGTTGAACAATGGAAGATGTTGATAAATAAGTTTGTGTTGGTTTAGTCCGTCTATGTGTCGTCTATTTGTAATGTCTGTCGTGAGAGGCGATTGATGAATTTGAACTCGGAAGAATTTATCAGATATTGTGTTGATATAATCACGCAAGTGAGGGACGGACGGGATCTGGTGTATCAGCGTGGTATGGCCGTAGCATATTAATTTTCTTTCTATAAGGGATGTATAATGGAACTGTGTTAAAATAAACAAAAATACTGTACGCGGTGTTGCCATGACAACAGTGTCATGTGACCACTTGATCGTGATGATCTACAAAAAAAATTAAGTATACTTTGCCAGTTGGAGGTTTTCGTGCAATTAGATTTTATTGTGTGTGATTGAAATACTATTTTAAGATAATCTTTTTTTCTTTTTTTTTATTTACTTCAAAGTGTTTTTATTGCTTCATTGCTGCATGTCAAAGTCATATTTATATACTACATGCATTACTTTTTATAAAACTTCTGGATTCCTCCTGCGTTGGTTTTGTTCACTCGAACTTGCTAACGTTTCGCGAATCATCCTGTTGGCTTCTTCGGAGCTTGGCTGAAACTGGCTCGAATTTTACACTGTACCTGCTTATATGTTGGTTGAAAGGGGCGGAGCTAAATGAGGGACATAAACAATATGTCGGATGACTGATTCCCATA